ATTTTTTTTTATCAGAATTTATGAAACCACTGAACAAACACTGACCAATTTTTTTCCTTACTCTCTCTTCGTTATCTCAGTCATCCTTTGTGTTATTTCCGCCTTTATTTTTGTTTTATCTTCAACCTCTCAGCTTCCCTTTGTATTCCCTCTATCGGACTGAGAACTGCGGACGATCCATCACTGATCACATCGAGCTTTCGGTGGATCTGGAAAGAACAAAGGAATTATAATGACGAGAGAGAGACGAAATGAAGTGTGGAGCCTTTGAAGAGATATTATATATATATCTATATATATATATATATATATATATATATATATATATATGTGTGTGTGTGTGTGTGTGTGTGTGTGTGTGTGTGTGTGTGTTTGTGTGTGTGTGTGTGTGTATGTGTGTGTGTGTGTATATGTATACATATATATATATATATATATATATATATATATATATATATATATATATATATATATATATATATATATTTTTTTTTTTTTTTTTTTTTTTTTTTTTATGTGTGTGTGTCTGTGTTTAGATACTATTTATATAGACGCACACACACACCCTTGGCTAGCGCTTTTAGACCTATGGAACCATATAGAGAAAAGACTCCTTCAGAATGGGATGAAACTGAAACTGATTATCATTGCATTTACATGAAATATTAACTGCGTAGAACAACTTCTCTGACTGATTCCGTTCTGGTGTAAATCCTGTGTTGCTGTTCCCCTGTTCTCCTGGATTTATTTATTTATTCATCTATTTATTTATTTATCTATTTGTATTTTTTATTTTATTTTTTTTAGGAACTAGGAATCAACCTTGGAATACATCAGCTCCCGAAAGTTGTAAGTCAAGCTCTGTGTTTATCTATTTCATCGATCATTCTTACTTAAGTCACATGAAGGTTATACTACATCTACGGGATATCCAATAGTTATATCTTAGCTATACGGCAAGCGGGTGTTTTTTTTTTTTTTTTTTTTTTTTTTTTTTAAGAGAAAAACACTAGCCCCTTAATAATACTCTAATTAATGTTTGATACAAAACAAAAAAAAACTACCATGGATAGGATTTGATTAACGTTGGCGTGCAAACCCCGTGGAGTTATGTGAATGTCGAATGATTTTTAATGAAAAAAGAAATTGAATAAATAAATAAATATAAAATAGGTTCGTTGTATACCTTTGGACGGAAATACAGATACAGAAAATATGGAAATTGTAAATGAAAGACATGACAGCGTTCGCGAAACACGAATAAAGAACAACAATATTGATAACATAAATAACATGATGATGATGAGAAAAAATAACACTATCTATAATGATTATACGTAACAATAACAACCATAACAATCATATAATAAAAGATAATAATCGAAAATAGGAATAAGAAGAACGATAGTGATAACAATGATACCGAAGATAACGATGATAATGACAGTACAACAAAGGGGATAATGATAAGAGAGTTTTTTTATACACATGATAGATATGAGGATGTTGGTGGGAATAATTGTTAAAGTAAATGCAAGTAGTGACAGTTATGGTGCTGTTGATAATAGCATTAATAATAACAATTATTATCCAAAAGCACGTTGTATTTGTTATTAGTAAATAAAAATATTTATATATATAATATACATGTATATATATATATATATATATATATATATATATATATATATATATATATATATATATATATATATATATACATATATATATATATATATACATATATATATATATATATATATATATACATATATATATGTATATTTGTAATATATATATATATATATATATATATATATATATATATATATATATATATATATATATATATATATATATATATATATGTTTATATATATAAGCATATATATATATATATATATATATATATATATATATATATATATATATATATATATATATATATATATATATATATATATACATATGTGTGTGTATGTGTGTAAATTTGTATATATATATATATATATATATATATATATATATATATATATATATATATATATATATATATATATATATATTTATGTATATATACATATACATATATACATATACATATATACATAATAAATATATATATATATATATATATATATATATATATATATATATATATATATATATATATATATATATATATATGTATGTGTGTGTGTGTGTTTGTGTGTTTATATGTTTTTGTGTGTGTGTATATATATACACTTATATATATATGTATATGTATATATAAACATACATACACGCATAAATATGCACATATACAACCTTGCTGTTCCGTCCGCTTCGCCTCCCGCCTGTTTCCTTCTCAAGCCATTCGCTGCCTTATCCTTCATGGCCAGACTGCTGTAACCTCCTTTACGCTCCATACCTACTCCTCACGCCTCCCCATAGCAAGGCCGGAAGACAAGCCCCTTTTACGCCACACATACTATCCGCGGTGCATAATACTATCCTA